GTTCGCATATCATGGTGTTTTGAGTGCTCAAGCTCATTGTTTCAAATGTAGATATGCAGCAAGTGTGCACAAATAGAGAGAGGAAGCTTCTGTTGAGCTCTGACCATGGTTCATTGCTGCACATCCTCATCGTTATTAGGCTGCTTATTTAAATAATGGTGCTTCCTGTGTTCTCAGTGCCCTTGTTGCAAGTGCAAGTAATGATTCTCTGTAAACTAGAATTTCACATGAAACGTTTCACGCCATTTCCATCCACTGGAAAAAAATAACTTCCAAAAAAAAATTACTTTCTGATAAGTGAGGTTTATTTATAAATTAATTTCGAGAGGATCACATGCTTATGATTGATCACAGCTGGTCCTGCATCAGCTCACGATTGATTCTCCAATCAGATGATTCCTAACTCACTATAAATAACCAGAGTTTTCTTATCTCAATATCTTTGCCTTGAAGAATCACCCCACCACCTACCCACCCCTACTCCCTCTCCTTTCTAGACAGGTGACACGGTGGCCTAGTAATTAGCCCTGTTGCCTCACAGCAAGAATGTCTCTGGTTAAAGTCCCTTCTAAACCAGATTATGTTTCTATGTGGAGTTTGCTCATTCTCACCGCGCTCACGTGGGTTTTCTCTGGGTTCTCCAAGGGATTTGAAAACACCAAATTGATACCATAGCCAAGATCTTAGCGAGTACACCTCTCCTCAGCCATCCTATATCGGTCATTTGTTACAAATAGGCCTGGGGCAATTAATCTAGATCTACCTGAGCTCAAACTCCCCTCTCACCCTGCAAACAGGAGGGAGCCCAGGGCTCGAGTATTTCATATGCTCAGGGCTCTCTCCCAGCACAGCATGCCGAACAAGCTTTATTATCAATCCTCAGCCAAGTGTGAACTCTTGAAACTGGTGGTATATACAGTAAAGCAAAAGTTTTAGGCAGGTGTGAAAAATTCTGTAAATAAAGAACGCTTACTAAAGTGAAAGTATTGAACATGTATTTTCATAAATGAACAAAATTAAATGGATAAACAAAAGAGAAATCTAAATCAAATCAATATTTGGTGTGACCTTTCTTCTAGGTACACAGTTTTTGAAGGAACTCGACTGGTTGGCTAATCAGACATCTTAGAGAACTAACCACAGACCTTCTGCAGATAGGCTTTCTCACATCCTTCTGTCTCCTCTTGTAATCCCAGACACACTCGATAAGGTTGAGATCAGGGTTCTGTGTGGGCCGTGCCATCACTTCCAGTACTACTTCTTCTTTTCACAAGATGAACTTTATTTTTAAACTAATTTCGAGAGGATCACGTGCTTATGATTGACCACAGCTGGTCCTGCATTATCCATATTATGCTTCACCAATCAGACGATTCCTAAGTCTTCATAAATAACCTAAGTTCAATACCACAGCCATCTTCGCTTTGAAGAATTCCCCCATTCCACCTCTGCTCCTTCTCCTTTTCTATATGGGTGTCACGGCGGCCCAGTGGTTAGCACTGTTGCCTCACAGCAAGAACGCCACTGGTTCTAGTCCTCCTTCGGTTTCCTACCACCATCCAAAAACATGAAACTTATGTTAATTGACTAATCCAGGGTTAGTCTTAGTCTAAGTCTAAGACAGTGGGCCTCTCTTTTGACACAACTTATCCATTGGCGCCCCCCTCCTCCCAAACACGCACGCATGCACACACACACACACACACATACACACACACACACACACACACACACACACACACACACACACACACACACACACACATATATATATATATATATATATATATATATATATATATATATATATATATATATATATATACACAGTATATATAAAGACACAGACAGATGTCAGACTGTTAACTCACTTTTATCATCATTTGCATGAAAGTGCAATTATTTACAGAGTTATAACAAGTATTTTAATATAAAGTTTTTAAAACTAGGATGATGGTTCAATATGAATAGAACAGATCCAAGAACTGTCCATCCCAGTCAAAACAGTCGAAGTTTAGCGGGTCTCATGCTGTCATTAGCCAAAATATCTTGACAAACCACACTTAAAGGTCGTGGTTCATCAGCTGGTCCACGTAAATCCTAAACTCAAATACTGATCATCATATCGTCGTCTTTTGGGTTTAAGCCCTGAACTAGAAGGCTTTGAATCGGGGGGTCTCAGAAACCGATCCATTGTATTAGCAGGCATATACCTGTATTGGCGGGCTTGCCAAACAGAAGCGAATTCACAGCTTTGGCCTTCTGGGTAAAAAAAGGTTTTCTTATATTTGTCGTATTATTATTTTTTAGCTTTGTTCAATTAAAACGTTTAAATATAATAAAAATACATATAATAATTAAACTTAATAATTATATTTTTATTATATAATATTTTTTTCCCCGCGCCTCCCCTGACATGCTCTGGCGCCCCCCAGGGGAGGCGCGCCTCACACTTTGAAAACCCCTGGACTAATCTAAATCTGCACCATAGACGTGCTAGTAAGTAGTTATCTCTCCATACCAATCCCTGATGGTTCATTAGTTACTACAGCGGGGGAGTTTCGAGATCGATCTTATGAGCTCAGGGCTCTCTTACAGAACCGCATGCCAAACAAGCTTTATAATCAATCAGTAGCTAAGTGTGTACTCTTGAAAGATTTTTTTTTAATGACTTTGACTGTATGTTTGGGGTCATTGTTCTGCAGCAGAATTAACTTGAGGCCAATTAGATAGCTGAAAACTGAATATCGTATTACAATAAATTAAAGTAAGATAAAATGAAAAATTGTTATGACTTTTTGTCATAAAATATTTTTGGTGTAGACTTGAATGTAGACTTCAAAATACTTGGGAAAAAAATTATTAAAGTTGCCTTAAGACAAGAATATGGATGCATTTTGGTTTTAGAACAATTTTAATGAATGATTTCGATCCACTTCAGTTGATAGCATATGTATTTAATGTCCTGTGTTCAAGCATTAGGCATCAGAAATGACTGTCATCTCTGTGGAGCTGCAGATTCAAAGTGTATAAAACATTTCCACTCAATAGATCATTAACTGAGGGTTTTAGGAACTGTTTGACATCCTGTTGGCTACATGAGACAATAGACTTTTGTTCTGCAAACACATATTTCCTCTTCACTCTTGACTATATTCAATGCATATTATTGAAGTGAGGAAGTCCAGGTCAGTTGTTGCACCACAAGATGGCAATATTTGACACTTTTTTTACTGTGTTGCATGTGTAGCAACTGATGTTGTGAAGCATTTATGGTCACTTTCTTGAATAAGGACTGAATTTAATTATCTTTGCCTATATATGGGTAATAATTCTTTAACTATGGGCATTTTTATGTTGTTTGATCATATATATATATATATATATATATATATATATATATATATATATATATATATATATATATATATATATATATATATATATGATTTTATTCAAATTTCTTTTCCTTTGTCAAACTAATAATAAAACTTACTTTTTAAAAAATATACTAGCTTTCTATTATGTATTTTTCATATTATTCAACCTCCTTTTAGGTGTGAAAATCACTGTTTTGACCTTGTTGCACACCCAGAGTTTTAAACTTCAACAATGAAAATTACATTTTAAGATATTATTTATCTGGTATCTATTAATGTATCAAGCCGAAATAAAAGAAATATTTTTATTAAGCCGAAATAAAACAAATACGACTTTCTCCAGAAGAAAAAAAAAATCATAGGAAATACTGTGAAAATGTCCTTGCTCTATTAAACATCATTTGGGAAATGTTTAAAAAAAGAAGTATATATATATATATATATATATATATATATATATATATATATATATGCGTATGTATGTATGTATATGTGTGTGTGTGTGTGTGTGTGTGTGTGTGTGTGTGTGTGTGTGTGTGTATGTATGTATGTATGTATGTATGTATGTATGTATGTATATATATATATATATATATATATATATATATATATATATATATATATATATATACATACACATATATACACACACACACACACACACATATATACATATATATATATATATATATATATATATATATATATATTTTTTTTTTTTTTTTTTTTTTTTCATATGTTGCATCAAAAAATGTCAATTAAAATATACAAAACAAAATCTCTTAACATATTTTCTGGCACAAAATGTTTATTTTTACAAGTTGTGTTGACCAAAAGTACAAAAAAAAAATCATTTTGCAAAAGTCATTATTATTATTATCATAATTTTCAATTTTCCATATCTGTAATGCTTGTATTTTGGCATTTTTTTACAGTCCACTTATAATGCAACATGGAAGTCATTTTTTTCTTTATTGGCATTGATTGTTTTGAAATTCAAATGGCTCTAACATGCCTGTGTTTTAATTTCTGTAATAAATATGGCTGTCAAGCCAGGATCTTGATGGTTTATTGTGGGCATATTGTTTACATGAAGAAATCTGTGTTACAAGTTAAACAAAAATTCTAATGATGAATTATATTTTGAATTTAAACAGTATTTGTCTTGCGTTTACATTAATTTTACACTCGAATAGCCAAAATTACAAGTTTCAGTCTTTTAAACGCGATTAATTTTTTTGAAGTGCGATTAATTAGTTAATTTTTTTTTATCAATTGACAGCACTAATATATATATATATACTATACACACACACACACACACACACACACACACACACACACACACAAGAAAATTAATGATTATACACACACACACACACACACATCAATCTGTTCTATTTTGCTGTATGATGATTAAACTCAAGTTAACATTAAACACTTGCATTTAACATGTTTTCTATTCATAGAAAGATCTATATTTATGAGTATTCTCTGTGCTTTCACAAATTTTAAATTCATTAAACATAATTGCTTATAAAACATATATAATGTTATATATATATGTTATTTTTATAAACATAAAAGCATTTAATGCACCACAACGACACACTATTAATGTATTATTAAATATTTTATTTATTTAATATGTTGCATCAAAAAATGAAAATAACAAAAAATGTCAATTAAAACATACAAAAAAATTCTCAACATATTTGCTGGCACGAAATGTTTATTTTTACAAGTTGTGTTGACCAAAAGTACAAAAAAAAAAAAAAAAAACTAAAAATCATTTGGCAAAAGTCATTTTGCTTAATAATAAAAAAATTAAACATATTTTACAAGTTGCATCAAAGTAAAAATACAAAAAAAGCAATTTTGCAAAACAAAGAAAGAAATCAGTGCATCAGATGAGTTTCCGACAGATGAGTAAAAGTGCAAGTGCACACATTTCAACAGTATGCAACTGAACAATTGACACGGTGACCTTAATACTTGCAACAATTAGTAAACCAACGAATGTCACATACAGCATCATTTTGAATTATGTTAACAAAACTGCAATCCCATTAAAAATATCATGATCTAGTAGTAGCGTTATCTCTTTACACAAATCACACAAGACTGATCATCTTCAGGATCAAAACACCTCCATTAAAACATTCAACAGTTTACATTTTTATTTTGTTCATTTCCCCTTCATCAATTGTCCTTCATGCTTGCTTTCACTATGTAACAAAAGCATCTTTACGTCCCTTCAAGGATCTTTTTGCAGAGAGTGGAATCTCAACCTTGTAGTCTTATTTCCCTCTTCTTTCCCTTCTTCCTCTTCTTTTTAGTGCTGGTTGTAGAGCAGAATTATGGGAAGTGTCTCTATATGTGCCTTCAAGGATCCGTCCACATCAGCGCTCTTGCACTGCATTGAGCAGAAACTCAACCATCTAGTCTTTTTCTTTATGAGACGGAGCAGCTGTTAGTTTTGTTCATGGGTGGCCGTAGACTCAAGTCTTTAGGAAAGGTTTCTCTGCGCCGCCGTAACGCTGGGCTCAATCGACTGGGGAGATTCGCCTGCTGGAGAAGCTCCTTGAACACCTCCATCACGTTCTCGTTTTCTTTAGCCGAAGCCTCCATGAAACAATTGTTCCAGTCCATCTCCACCTTCGCCAGAACATCGTCCGCAGACACCCGGCGCTCGATCAGCCGATCTTTCTTATTGCCTACAACTACGATTGGCGTGAACTTGTCCTCCTTGACCTCCAGGATTTCCTCGCGGAGCCTGTTCACCACTTCTAGAGATTCAGGATCATCTACGGAGTAGACCAAAGCGAAAGCGTCTCCGTTTTGGATGGAGAGCTTCCTCATTGCTGGAAACGAGTAGCTCCCGCTGGTGTCCATGATGTTGATGGTCACTTTGACTCCAGCTACTTCATATTCTTTGCTGTGGAGCTCCTCAACTGTGCGCCGGTGCTTGGGCTCGAAGCTGTCTTGAAGAAAGCGCTTTATCAATGCGGTTTTACCCACACCTGCAGCTCCCATGAACACCAGACGCACCTCGGTCTTCTCCTTGACTTCCAGAGACATGGTTCCTTGACGTTCTGCCTCTGTGTGCTGTGCTGGAGCTCAGGATCGGAGCATGTGAAATGTTCAATGGTGAGCTGCTGGGTTTGTGTGCTCTATTTATAGAGGTTGTGAATCAAAGCCTCTTCAGAGCTCAGCCAATTGTTGAGCTGGTGCATCTCCTGCTGCTGGCCAATCACGCGGCGGTATGCAGATGAGATGGAGGCTGAAGGAGAGAGGCGATGTGCAGGAGAGCTGTCTGATGTGTTTTTGAGCCGCGGGTGCGTTTGGATGTCAAATGAAATATAGGATGTGAATTCAGGCTCCCGGCGTAATAATTTCACACTTTTTTTTTCTTTCTCAGGTTACGTGCAAATCTACCGGCGGTTCATTCTGTTGTGGAGACCCCTGATAAATCAGAGGCTAAGCTGAAGGAGAATGAAAGAACGAATGCAAATCTTCCATCATGGTTCAAAATAAAGATATAAATGTTCCAAGTGGGGACTTGAATAAAGCAGCACAGTAGAAAAATGTTCCTCAAAGAATCGCTCAGATCATGTTTGTTAAACAAAGAATCTTTATTGAATGAGCATTTGGATAATCGGAGGAATACACTATAACAAGATGACAAGCAGCAAAAATGCTCGATCATTTATTTTCAGGAGTTCACACTGAGCTGATGATTGATTATAAAGCGTGTTTGGCATGCTGTCCTGGGAGAGAGCCCTGAGCTTATGAGATCCTCGAGCCAGGGGCTCCCTCCCGTTAACAAGGCGAGAGGAGAGTTTGAGCTCAGGTAGATGGCGACCATAGATATATACATTAGATGTCGCCTGGCCTATTGTTGTCTATTGGACGGAATGCCATCTTGGTACAGGGTAGCGCTCCTTTTAAATGAATGCGGGACCAAGGTACAGTGGAGGACTGTGGCCATCCAAAGCCAGAGATATACATGTATATACATATATCTATGATCAGGAGTTTTCCTGAATGTTAGTATGTAATTTTTTTTTTTTCTAATTACGAAAATTATAATTTTACATCACTTTTCTACATTGATGGATCAGTGACCGCACGGGCATTCTTGACAAAAAGCTTGTGTTAGTGTGTACAGAAATTTACTATCCACCCTCCCTGTTAAATTTGATCTAATCATGTCCTGAAACACAGCTCCTCTCCTGCTTTCACTTTTAATACTGACGGAGGGAGCGATTCATTCGTGAATGAATCCCCCGAACGACTCTTTCACTAACGTTAGCCGACAATAATACAAGTTTCTGGCAGCGCAGCATCTCGTTGTCATATTTCTTTTGCATTGTTTACTGATTTTAAACAACAAAACTAGCCTAAGCCGAGTGTTTAGTGCGAGTTGGAGCTGCTTTGCCTTATAGTGAATGCAGTAAGTGACTGTTATCATCAATAACGTTACCTGATTAACACAAAAGTTCAGAACATACAAAAACAGAAAAAAAAACTTAATATTACCTATGAAATGATCTGCCTTTGTTTTCTTTGTTTGCTCGTTACTACACCCAGACAGCGCTAAAGTCCCGCATCTTCATGTAATAACACTGTCTTGACTAGTGCGGTTGAATGACATTTGTCCTGGGAGCACTGTACCAATGTGGCGGCGCTATTGACGCATGCTCAGGGTCCCTATGCGATATCTAGTGTATATATCTATGGATCTCGACGAACTCCTCCAACTTATTTCTGGCTAATGACAGATAAAGCGATGGCTAAGGAGAGATGTACGCTTGCTAAGAGTAAGTTGTAAGTAAGTAAAGTTTATTTATAAAGCCCATTTTCTTCAGTTTGGCGATGACCAAAGTGCTGAACAAAATCATAGCAAACACTCTAAAACAGTAAAAATAACAATAAAAGTACTAATAAGAATAAACGTATTACAGCAACAACCACAAATAATAATAATAATAATAAATATAGTTGCAGACTTGACACATTAACATATCTGGCCCAGTTCAGGCCCAGTTATGGGTTATTAAATTGGCTAGGACTTGGCTCAGATTTGGTCCATGTTTGGCCTTTGTCTGGAAGTCAGACTTGGTCCAGTCATGTACCATAACTCACTGCGCCATGTGGGCCAAGCAACAGCTGGTTGTGTGGGCTAGTGATATTTTGCTATGTGGGATATGTTAGGTGATGTGGGACCATCTGTGATCAATCATAAGCACGGGATCCTCTCAAAATTAGCTTATAAAAAACGTCACAAACAATGCAAAAGAAGAAAAGAAAAAACAATTCGGCTATAAGTCCTCGTCAGAATACTGAGTCGTCCTCTCTCGATGTGTATATTCAGTCATTATTAGGTTTTCACAAGTCACAGATCTGCTTTTAGTCTCACATCTTAAGAATGAGGATGAAATATAGTTTGATCCTAGGATCCTTATATGAACTCTTAAACACTTTTTATTTCAGGTAATGGAAAGAGTCCATGGATGTTAAAGGTGTTTTGTGAAAAAATTGTTTCTATTAAATAATGTCTTGATTTGATACTTTGGTACATGGGTTACACTACAAGGTTATTGCTGTCAATAGTTCTATAAAGAATTTACGGAGCCATTTCATTCCACTAACACTACTTTATAGTGTTCTAAGGTGTTCTACACACTATGAAAAAGGTATTGTATAAATATTATATTGCAGTAGATTTGAAACAGCTTAGTGGGGTGTCTGTAATGTAGATGTCATCAAGTTTGCCTAACATGCGAAAGGTCCTCTGTTCGAAACCAAGCAGAAACAGTATCTTCCTGAAAGGTGGCAATGCTGATTCGAGTCCTGGCTGGGCCAGTTGGCCTCGTATGAGGGTGTGTGTGAATGCGAGGGTGTATGGGTGTTTCTCAGTACTGGGTTGTAACTATATATTTCTCATATAATCCAAGGCCATCCGCTGTGTAAAACATATGCCAGAATAGTAGGCGGTTCATTCTGTTGTGGCGACCCCTGATAAATAAGGGACTAAGCTGATGGAAATTGAATGAATGAAACAGCTCATCTATGCTCACCTGTTCCCAAACACGATGTTTTTATTTTCGTCAGCGTGCTGCAAGATGGCTTGTTTTATTGCATTGCATGTCTCCTTCAAGGAGAACGCAATACCAGCTCCAGAATGTCAAATCTCTAGTGTGCGTCAGGCACTGAGTGTTATTTGTGTGGTGTGCAGTTACTGCAACATCATGATACCGAGAGACTGTTAACAGCTACGTACGTGTTCAATTAAAAAACACAGCACTTGTTGATTACACTCAGGGTGAATAAATGCATGACTCAGAGTATGATGTGGGAAAAGGTGACACACGTCTCATTAAAGCATACCTGCCAACACTCATGTTTTTCCCAGGAGTCTACTGTATTTCACACCCATTTCCTGCCACTCTACCATTCTGTCATTTCTCCCGGAAAACGTCCATAATACATGTAATACTACAACATCAACCTTCAAGTTTGGTACAGACTCCCACAACCCCCTGCTTGAGGTTGGTACAGAACCAACACCCTTGTTGACAAAACATTCAAGAATAATTATAATAATAAAAAAAAGAAAACACTTTATCCTGAATGAAAATATGCTGAATGAGAGTGAACTGCTGAACTGGAGTTAAAGTCTAAAGATTAAAAATGAAACACCCTAAATGGCATGAAACTCTGGAGGTCTGCCTGGTGATGCAACATTAATTGTTTTTTATTAAAACTTTCCTTCTAAAAGCGCTTCCTTGGTCTTGGTCTTGGCAAGCTTAACTGGCGCTCTAGGCAAACGGCAATCACGCTGCCCTCAGGCCGAAAGTGAAAAAGAAAGTGGCCTTTTTGCTGATGAAAGCGAGGACCGTCAGGTAGAGGGTCGGTATAGCTGATCTAAGTGAAGACCGGGGGTTCGCTCACTATTATGCTGCCTCGCCTCTATGCACACACCATCCCTAAACACACGTCTGCCACAACAGAAAATAAAAAAACTTCAACTGTGTTATTTGCGTTATTTTTTTTTTACGCATTAAATATTTGAATTAAGCACTTGCGTTAATGCACTAATTTTAACAGCCCTAATATATATATATATATATATATATATATATATATATATATATATATATATATATATATATATATATATATATATATATATATATATATATATATCTATATCATGGGCTTCAAACAAGCATAATATATACATTACAAAACTAGAGAATGAAAATAAAATTTAAATATAGTTGTAGTCAGAATTTTTTTTCTTTTTTAAATATTTCATAAATTATGTTTAACAGATTGAGGAAATGTCCACAGTATGTCTGATAATATTTTTTCTTCTTCAGAAGAAGGACAACACAATTAACACAATTTTAAGGACAAAATTATTAGCCCCTTTTGGCAATTTGTTTTCGATAGTCTACAGAGCAATCCATCGTCATTACAATAACTTGCCTAATTACCCTAACCTGCCTAGTTAACCTAATTAATAAATAATTAATAATTAATAATAAATGTCACTTTAAGCTGAATACTGGTGTCTTGAAAAATATCTAGTAAAATATTATTTACTGTCTTCATGACAAAGATAAAATAAATCAGTTATTAAAACTATTATGTTTAGGAATGTGTTGAAAAAGTAAACAGGGGTGCTAATAATTCTGACTTCAACTATATATATATATATATATATATATATATATATATATATATATATATATATATATATATATATATATATATATATATATATATATATATATATATATATATATAGGGAAACATTATTTTACAATTCAATTAAAAATGAATAAAAGCAGTAATTTAAGCAGGTAAAAAAAACTGATGTTAAAATGACTTTTCTGTCATGTTTTTCTTTACATCTCCAACAACACATGTCATTTATGACACTCAAGAAGGTCTTGTTTTTATTCTTGTGTCTCAAATGCAGATGTTGAAAACATTTTCTCATTAATGTTCAATTCAAAGCATGTAAAACCTCATAACACATGTAGTAAAGTGGTCACACGTCGTTCTGCAGTTTTACCATTTTTGGCATAAAGTACAATTAATAAAG